GTTATCTTTTTGCTCTACTAAGGTTTGGAAAAAAAATTATATGAAATAATTTAAAACTAACTTAATATTAATTATGTTTTTTTATCTTAAAAAGGCTGTTATAAATACTTCTTTTAGCAAAATAAGATTTTGTTTTCAAGTTTTTAATAAGGCCCAATATAAAGCTTAAGTGAAAGAAACAATTGTTTAACAACAACAATTTTTATTGAATTTTTTTGTAAGATCCAACATAGAACCTAACCAAACTAACCAATTAATTTATTGGACTACCCACTAGGCCCAAATATGAACTATTTAAAAAAAAAAATTGGACAAAATTGAGCCTCTTTTTAAGTGATTTAATTAACAGTGATTAGCCAGTTTCAAGCTGAAACTCACTCACTACTGATCACTCTTACTAATAACATTTTGGTTAACTTTTTGGTTATTTTGATCATGATAACATAACATTTTTATTGATATGTTATATCTTTGTTAGGACATGTTCTCATGTCAAATAAGAGACATTTAATAATACATAAAAAATCTTGAAATAGTTGATAAATATGAATAAAATTGGACCTTATAATTGAGATTGTGACATCTGGTGTGCTAATAAGCGTAGAAAGTGATTGTTAATACAATGAAACACAAGCAAGAAATGACTCTTAACAGATTTTCAACAAGATAAACATATAGGTATGGAACTATACAGTAGATGATAACTTAAAAGAGTTGATTAATATTATTTATATTAATAAAATGTATTTAATTTTCAGTATCTTGTTATATAAGAACTTCAAGTTTAAGTGTATTTAATCTAAAGAAATTATGAGAGGTTACTCACAGGAAATATATGACACTGCTTGTCATAGTTTATGAACTATTTATATTTCTTCTTTTAATAATCTTTCTCACTAATTTAAAACTAATTAAAGTTTCTGGATATGTTTTATTAGTATATATTATCACTTTATTTTAAAATTGTAAAGTTTAAGAATATTAAGATGAAAAAAGAAGATATCGGCCTATTGAATATAATAATAATTGAAATTTGTTCTTTTATAAGCTTTACAATTAAATATAATAATAATTTTTTAAAATCAATTTGTAAAAAAAAAACATAAATGGTAGACTCTTTAGTTTGATAGTTATTATTTTTATTTGTGCTTTGACTAAGTCTAATATTTTAATTATAATAATTACAAATATAGCTCTTAATTTAATTATCATGTCTCTCTTAAATCAAACTTGTGCCATTTTAAGTATTTTTTCAATTTATAAATAACTCAACTTTTAATGGTTTAGTAAATATATGTAATTTGATCTTCAACCTGACAATAATTAAATTTTACTTTCTTTCAATTAATAATGTTCATATCTTATAAAATTGAATATCAATGTATTTGAACTGCTAATAAAAAATTAGATTTTTGCATAAAGTAATAGCAATTTTATTATCATAAAATATTTCTATTATAATTTTCTATTTTAATGAATGATTGTAAGTATTATTACAAAACATAAAAAAAAATAAAAAATAAAGATCCTGGAAACATAAAACTCTTGTTTTAAAAGATTTATAAATAATTTATAAAAAAATTGTGATTGTTATAATTTTTTTATTTATTTTATAAATCTTTTAATATAATTTATCAAAATAAGGTTATCAACTTCGCACGATACCCCATATGCATGAACTGATTAGAGGAAGAGAGGCTTGATAAACAGGAAATTCAGGCGAACAATTTTTTTAATAATAGGAAATTTTTATTTATATCACTATCTTATTTACACGGTTTTATTATTTTTAGAATCTTAATTTTAAAAAATATATTTTAAAAACTAAATTTTATAAGTTATTTATAAATAACTTTTAAAGTTTAATTCTTAAAATATAATAACACATTCTTTTTTTAAAAAAATAGTATAACTAATAAAAATGGGTGGTACAAAAGTAATTTTTCTGTTTATTTTATTTTATTTTTTGCCAAGAAGTAATTTTTCTGTAAATACTGTGTTAGTGTATTGGACCAGTATTGAACTATCTAGACCCACCTTAAAATTTTAAGGCTGGATTTCAAGATGAAGCCCACTAGTTTGGTTTGGACCTGTTTCTTTTTTTTCAGATATGAATTATAGTTTCTTTCGGTTCATGAAATGTGCTGTGTATAACTTTATGAGACATCCAGAATGAAAATTAGAATAAAAGTTATAAGCAATACCATAAATATTATTTTTATTGTAATTAAAATATAAAATTTATTTCAATGCAATATTTTGACCTTTGATATTAACTTTTATGTATAAATTACTAAAATAAAACTCTAGTTTGGATTGATAACAACATTTAGTGCATATAAAAATGGTGCATTTTATATAGTTAGCAAGCTGGAGTCATTGAATGAAGATTGGACCACTCATATATTAAAATTTAAATTTTAATACCCTGTTTTTTAACTAGGTCAAACACGAATCGTAGAAAAGAAGCGCAAAATATTGACATTCTTGGACAAATTAAAAAAGTCAACGGATTATTTTATTATATAATGATTTGGGAGTTCAATGCAATGGCTTATGAGTTGATTATTTAATAGTTAGGCATAATTATATGATAGGAAGAATGTTAATTATTATTTTTAGATTGTTAGTTATATAAAATTATAGAAAAGTATTGGTAATCATTTTTAATGTAATATTAATTGGAAATTATTTGTTATTTGTAATCAAAATTTTAAGGTATTTATTGGTAAGATCTTTAATTTCAATACAAATAACTTAAAATTATTAAATGAAATTAAAACGTCTATTTAAATAAAATTTACATTAAAGCATACATCACGGTAGAAGGAATTAATTTTATATTTTTGCAAACAGACACTTGTTTGCTAAGGTAATACAAATTTATGTAAAATACACAACATGATCACAACGTTAACATGTTAATAATATTACTTTTAAAATAAAAACATGAAAGGTAATATTATATTAATGTGAATATACAACTTAAGTTAAAATATCTCAATTTCATAAATTAAATGTAAATATAATGAATATAATAAAATATTATAATTTCCCTAATTAGTATAGCATTTCCACTTATATTAATATAAATTTTAAAAATTAAAAGTATACAATTGTTTTAAAAGTACGTTCTAGGTACTGCAAAATTGGCATGAATAAAATAATTTTCCTTGGAAATTTTGAATTTCTATGAATGAAAAAAGGAACTTTTACCAATGAAGGTCAAAGAGGACGAAAAATATATATTATTTTTCTCCAAAAGAGAATGAATGCAAGAAATTGATAATAGCAGTGTGTAAGTTTGACCAAATGACGTTCGATGTTGGTCGCGTACGATTACGTTTAATTCAGAACAATTGCTCCCTTAATCATTTATCATTATTTGAAAAAAAAAAAACCTTATGCATAGAAATTTCTTAATGACAAAACAAAATCAAATTTCCCTATCTATATAAAAAAGAGTTTCATCATGAAAAAATAATATTTATACATATTTATTCTTATAAAATATCCCAAATCTTTTAAATTCATTAGGTTTTGAAAGAGTAAAACACAGTCAAATTGTGTTGTGCTAGTTGTCTTGTCAATTTGCTTTTCTTTTAATTAATTAATACCCAGATCAAGTTATTCCTACTCCAAATCAATCTAAAACAGGTTATCTATATGTTATTATATCTTAATCCCAAATAAATATTATAATTAGACAACACATGAGATTGTGTACCAAAAATGAACGAAAGCGAACCCACCGCCATGTGCTTACAAACGATTATGAATATTAAAAATAGTTTTTTTTAACGTATTTTTATTTATTTGCTACAATTTATCAAAAATTATAAATATAAGTAAAATTTATTAAATTAAAAATAACTTTTACATCACTTTTAATTAATAATAATTTATTTAAAGCAATATATATTAGAGTGTTTTCTTTTATATATATATGTCGATCGATTAGGGTATCAACGACAACGAAACAGGGAACACACCACGTGCCTTCACATTCCGTACAAGTCATTGACAAGTACAGATATTTTTGCTTGTCCTTCCCCACTATTGACTTTTTTATTTTTAGTGTGAAAATAGTTCGTTACTTTTACCATAGCTGAGTCATGTATCATAAGTTGATAGTTGATGGATTAACTATGGAACCATGCGGTAAAATTATCATATTTTTATAGATAATTTTAATTTATAACCATTTCATGAATATTAAGACTCATTTAACACCTATTTTTTTTTAAATTGTACTTTTTTTTATGCGTTGAGATAATTTTTAAGATGGGTACATGTACAAAGACAATATATATAATTTAGGTAATAAAATTGATCTAAAATACGTTTTAAATTAACTTTTTCTTTATGTATAAATGATGATGAATTGATAATATAAAATTAATTTTATTAATTTAATTATAATTATATATCATTAAAGATATTTGTGTGATGTTTTGTAAAAAGGAAATGATAGGTAGTCAAAATACTTTAATTTTCACGCACATATATATGCACGTATTTTAATAAATATTAATGATTTATTAAATAATTTTAAACCAATATAAAATTTTACAATATAATTCACAGAAATAATGTTTGATCTAATGGTTAAGTTTGGAAATGAAATTATCTAGTAAAGACTAGCAATTCCTCCTCTATGTAAATTCCTAATCATTAATTTATAATACATTTAATTAAAAATAAATAATTTCAATTTATTTTAAATTAAAACTCTCTTTCAACAGCCTCTTCTCATGAGTCATGACAATGACATTGGCATAAAGTAATCGTATATGGTTGTCTTTTAATTGATCCTGTCTACTTTCAATGATAATTACAGTCAAAAATTGATATATATTAAGTATGTATCAATAATTCAATCTTAGCAGCAGAGAGTTCAGTTTTTTTGTTCTTCTTGTCAACACAAAATATCATAATTCCTTACAAAATGGCAGGGGATGGCTTCAAATGGTTGACTAAAGAAATTTCAAATGGCCCCATAGTTTATCCAAAATACCAAGTTTTCCCACAGTCTCAAGGCTTCATCCTTCACTTGCTTGCTTTTAATTCTTTCATCTTTTCTGACACACCCCTCTCTGTTTCTTCTCTGCTTCTTCTCTGTTTCAAAAATGATCAGACACAAGCACACTTACCCTCTTCTACCATTCCTTCTTTCAATTCTCTTCCTTTTCGACCCAACATCTGCCATAGATTTTGTCTTCAACGGATTCAACTCCTCTCACGTGTCCCTCTTTGGCAATGCCACCATCGATTCACGAATTCTTACCCTCACCCATCACCAAACTTTCTCTATTGGTCGTGCCCTGTTTCGTGAAAAAATTCCCACAAAGCAACCAAAATCTTCCTACGTGTACCCTTTTTCCACCTCTTTCATCTTTTCCATGGCACCTTTCAAAGACATTCTTCCAGGGCATGGCTTAGTTTTCATCTTCACTCCAGTGACAGGCATCAATGGCACAAGTTCTGCTCAACACCTTGGTCTCTTTAACCTCACCAACAATGGAAATGCCAGCAACCATGTGTTTGGTGTTGAGTTTGATGTGTTCATGAACCAAGAGTTTGATGACATCAACGCCAACCATGTTGGGATTGACATAAACTCTCTCAAGTCCTATGTTTCCCATGATGCTGGGTATTGGAAAAACCAAGGTGACAAGTCTTTTCAGGAGTTGTCACTTAACAGTGGTGAAAATTACCAAGTTTGGATCGACTATGAAGATTCCTTGATCAATGTTACCATGGCACCGGTGGGTATGAAAAGGCCTAGTAGACCTTTATTGAATGTTTCTGTTAACTTGTCTCAAGTTTTCGAAGATGAAATGTTTGTTGGGTTTACTAGTGCTACTGGTCAATTAGTAGAAAGCCACAAGATTTTGGGTTGGAGTTTTAGCAATAAGAATTTTTCATTGAGTGATGAGCTTGTTACTATTGGGTTACCCTCTTTTGTTCTTCCAAAAGATTCAATTTTTCACTCAAAGGGGTTTGTTGCAGGATTTACAATTGGAGTTTTTTTGGTTGTTTGTTTCTTGGTTTTGTTGGCACTGTTTTTTATCCAAAGGAATCGAAGGAGAGCAAGGAAGAGAGAGGAAAAGGAGGAATGGGAATTGGAGTATTGGCCACACAGAATGGCATATGAAGAAATAGAGGCAGCAACAAAAAGGTTCTCTGAGGAAAATGTGATTGGGGTTGGTGGAAATGGGAAGGTTTACAAGGGTGTTTTAAGAGGAGGTGTAGAGATTGCTGTGAAGCACATTTCTCATGAAAATGATGGTATGCGAGAATTTCTTGCAGAAATTTCAAGTCTTGGAAGATTGAAGCAGAGAAATTTGGTGGGGTTGAGAGGATGGTGCAAAAAAGATGTTGGGAATTTCTTGTTAGTTTATGACTATATGGAAAATGGGAGCTTAGACAAGAGGGTATTTGATTGTGATGAGAGGAAGATGTTAAGTTATGAAAATAGAATAAAGATTATCAAAGATGTGGCTTTTGCGGTTTTGTATTTGCACGAGGGGTGGGAAGCCAAAGTAGTGCATAGGGACATCAAGGCCAGCAATGTCTCATTGGATAAGGATATGAATGGAAGGCTTGGAGATTTTGGGTTAGCCAGAATGCAAAGCCACGGTCAAGTTGCTAGCACCACCAAATTGGTTGGAACAGTGGGATACATGGCTCCTGAAGTGATTAGGACTGGAACAGCTTCCACTCAAACAGATGTTTACATGTTTGGGATCTTGATTTTAGAGGTCATGTGTGGAAGGAGACCTTTAGTAGAAGGTAAGCCACCTTTGGTAGAGTGGGTTTGGAACCTAATGGTACAAGGGCAGCTTGTGTGTGCACTTGATGAAAGACTAAGGGCTAAAGGAAAGTTTAATGTGCAAGAAATGGAGAGGGTACTACACTTGGGTTTGTTGTGTGCTTATCCTGAACCAAAGGCTAGGCCAACAATGAGACAAGTGGTGAATGTTTTAGAGGGGAACAATGAAGGAAAGGAATCAGAAATTGAGAATATGGATACATATTTGCTTCAACAGTTGAAATCAAGGGATTTTTTGTCTCAGTATTCTCAGTATTTTAGCTTTGCATCGCACCCTACTTTTCAAGATATTCGTCACTCTTCCTCAATGTCTCTCACTTCGTCCACATCTCTTGTTGAGGGTCGGTGAATGAATCCGTGTCATTAATGACAAAATGGGATTTATTGGTTAGCTCATGGCTGTTACAAACATTGGATTCTTTTGCTGGAAATAGTTAGATTTGGAGCTACTGGGGGCTGAGTGCGAGGCCAAAGCACATCTAGTATCTAGCAAATTCATTACCATCTTATCCGATTGGTTTGGTAAATGTGATTTTTTTACACTTTGAAATCCAATTTCATAGTAATGAATTTTTTATTGTACAGCATTTACCATATTAGCATGAATGGTAATAACGATAAATTTCAATGTTAACACTCATAAGTGTTTTTGATAAAATATGCTTGATTGCCTCTATTGTGTAAGTTTCTCTACTTTGACACAGATCTAGGCCAAACCAAAATAAATCATGCTTTTATAATTCATGACACCATTATATAAGGAATCCACCTGTTAATTTTCAAACTTCCATCATTAAAACATTTTGGCTTTTTGGTTAACGTAAGTAAACAATATTAGCACATTGATTTTTTCCACCATATAATTATAGTTAGGTGGGAAATTTGGCAACAGATGCGGAGTCTGCACCTAATAAGCAAAGGTATATGACATCACCAAGAAACCTAGTGACCATTCAACTTGGCATTTCCACTTGTAGGCTGAGAACTCAAATCACAAGAATGGAGAGATTAGTCACTGTCAACAGGGTGGTGCTTGGTGCATTAACTCGTCAATATCCATGGTCTAGTGGTTCAATACAACAGTATAGTACCCTGCTAGCTGGTTCTTGGTGCATAATTCTGAGACAGCAGTCCACCCACAAACAATTTGCTACTTTATTTTCTCCTTTTTCTAATGAAACACTAGATCAAAAATCAAAGATTACACGTTTAATGTTTTCATGGCCCACTATATCAGAAGAGCATAGTGAAACCACGGACTTAAATTATGAGATGTCAAAAATCACGCCTCATGTTATAGCTTGGTTTCCACCAAATCAAGTGGATAAGTAGTGCAGCTGCAACATACTTAGTTTTGTGTGTTGAATGGCCAAAATTTCCACACATAGTGGTCCTGTACCAGAAAAGAATAAATCTCTATCTTTTTTTATTTCCACAACTAATATTCTTTTTTTATTTTGGTAATGTATGATGGGGTGATACTTCTATGATACTTAAAAAGACTGCTAGTGGCTGAATTTAAACGATTTCGTTTACAAACTCTTACAAATCAAATGTTTATTGAGTGTTTGTGACAAAATATTGTATTAATTTGTACGATTAACACTGCTCACTAATTTTGTTCATAGAAAAAGATGAGTAAATTATTGTTTGTTCTTACGGTACAGCATTGGCTTTGTAAAGATATACACATATACTAATACAGGAGGAATAAAATAAATGAAGGTGATGTGGTCCATGTGCTTTGGTAAATAACAATCCAAACTCATTGAATTGGTATTGGTTTTGGACAAATGGAACTCAAAAAGCAGAAAGAAAAAGGTAAACAAAGGGCGGAAAAGCAATGCATCTAGACCTTAGGAATAGGGTTAACTTGGTTTTCTTAAATGCTCTTTATTTCCTTGTTATCATCAGTCCCTGCCTTTGGTATCCACCTACGCAAAATTAGTTATGCACAATGTTATATAACTAGAAGACTACGTGTTTTTTAAGTTTGCGCCGACACAAATTTTCTATCAAAATTCACCGCTGATTCATTTCTATTAATTTTTAAAAATAAAATAAACTGTAGAAATTCATCTTATTTTCTTCCTCGGAGTACAGATAACCCCATACTCCATCCCATATGCACGTATGTGTGTCATATTGAATTTATTTGACTAAGATTTGATGAATGTGACATAATATTCAATATGCATACATAAATATAAGTATATTTTAGTTAATATATATTGTTGTACCCCAATTTTAACATTTTAAAAAAAATTTGTATTATATATCGTATCGTATTTGTACCTGGGCAGCCTATCTTATCATTAAATAAAGCATTTACATTTTGATTTGTTAATTTTATTAAATATTTTAAAAAGACTACATTTTATTTTTAAAAATTAAATCTGTTTTAAGAAAGAAATAAAAATGACTCTAATTCTTTCCTAGTAAGTTTCAATACTTCCTATCTCCTTCCTTCTTTTTCCTGTGAGTGAGTGAGTGATGGTAATAGTCATAAAACAACGTTCAATTACTAATATCTTACAACGACAGCACGAAATCTACGTCACAGTTCCAATTTCATCTTTCATTTTTCTTGTCATATTATACAAATCCTAAGGGAAATATCATCAAGACGTCAGCTCTATCATCAGTCCTACATCACATGTACCTTATATACCGCTTAAATTTATTTGAAGATGCATACAAGCAACACATTTTCTCCAATACATTATCTATTATTTCTTAAAATTTATTAAAAACTACAAAAAATACAAGAGAAACATTAATTCAAGAATAAAAAAAAAAAATTAAAACCAATATAATTTTTATAGATTTTAGTAAATTTTAACTAATAATAAAGAGTATATTAAAAACTATGTTATTAACATTTCTCTTGTTTGATATGTTTATAACAAGTATGAGTATATATGTATCTTTGATAAGAATAAAAATTAAGTATTTAATTATTTATCAAAACTATGTATTTAGTGGCTTTAACATGGATGATACTCAATTATTTTTTAAGATTTTTGAAGGGAGGATTAGATTAAAATTAAAAGACTAAACCTTTTTAGTTAGTTAACTATGCATGTCATCACAAGAAAGAAACTATATTAATTTATTTAAATCCTTCACCAGCGGCCACGTTATTAACTTAACATCTAAATCATGTTTTGCTCTATTTTGAATTGTCCCACACTTTTATAGTACTAACTTAATGTCTAAAATATTTTCATTTTAAATTATTCAATTCTTCATTTACCTCATAATCATATACCCAAGGTCTTAAATATGATCCTTGAAACTGGATGACATTTTTTGAGCTGAAATTTTTTTTTGAGAAAAAATCGTTTTTTAGCTACATGTTAATCAACTTTCGTTACTCAGTTACATAACATTTTTTTTTGTGAAGTTTTTGTAAAAACTTGTTAGCTATTGTACTTGACAAATGTACGTGTGCACTATGGAGCAGTGCCTTTTATGAGACTATATTTTTTCTGCATAATGAGAACCGGTTCAATTGCTTCCAAATTGTTTAGCTGAATTTTAATTGTTAAACAAGAGGATGAAAAAAAAACATGTTCCTCTTGCATACAATTTCAATGGTGCTGTAAACCTGCTGCTCAAGCGCATTCATGCACAATGTACCTATTCTGTTTGCATTCTCCGTAAAATCCTTAGCATCATTTACCATGCCAAGTGCCAATGTTTCTCCAACTAAGGTTGCTGAGACAGAACACTAACCCCTATATATTTATATCCCATCAAGCTTCTTTGCCTTCCAATATTTTCCAAATGTATGCTATTTCACTTTATCACTTCTCAAATTTAGCTAACTAAATTCTTCCATATATTTGCTTTTATATTTTCCTATTTCTTTCTTGAATCAACATAGTTTATTGTGACATATAATTCTTCCCCCATGTCAAAAGAAAGTGAGGAATTTTCTACAGAGATTGTTCAAAGGGGTGTTGAAAACTCTGGCCCAAATGCTGGTTCTCTTTCTTTCTCTGTGAGAGTAAGGCCTAGACTGCCAGATTTCCTTAGTTCAGTTAATCTAAAATATGTGAAATTGGGTTATGGTTACCTCATCAGCCATCGGTTGTACTTGTTGCTGGCCCCACCTCTACTTGCAGCCTTGATTACTCATATTGGAAAGTTCACTTGGGAAGACCTTTGTGAGAAATATAACCTCATTGAGGCTCTATTTATAACAGCACTTTTGAGTTTAATGTTATATCTTTATATTGATTTGACACCACGGTCCATTTATTTGCTTGATTTTTCATGTTTTCGCCCTCCAAATGAATATAAGGTAAATGACAAACTTCTTGTTCACTAGTTCTCATTCTTCAAGTCACTCACCAATTAGTGGCTATGTATATTCAATGCTTTTGCATATATTTAATGCAACTATTTAATGCAGATCTCTAAGGCAGAGTTCGTTGAATTAGCAAAAAAGTCTGGGAATTTCAATGATGCTGCCATTGAGTTTCAAGCACGAGTTCTCAAGAAATCTGGCATAGGCGATGAGACTTACATGCCAAAAGGAGTTTTTCGCCCTGGTCAAAGAACCTCACTGAATGACGGAAGAGAAGAGGTGTCAATGGTGATGTTTGGTGCAGTTAAGGACCTTCTTGCTGCCACAAAAGTAAAACCAAAGGATATCAAAATCCTCATAGTAAACTGTGGAATACTAAACACCACCCCATCACTCTCATCAATGATAATCAACCATTTCAAGCTTAGGCATGACATTCACAGCTTTAACCTTGGTGGGATGGGTTGTGCTGCTGGAATCACAGCCATTGATCTTGCCAAAGACCTTCTTGATGCCTATCCAAGAACTTATGCACTTGTAGTTAACACAGAAGCTGTGAGCCACACATGGTATGGTGGCAATGACATTGACTTGCTACTTCCCAATTGCTTCTTCAGAATGGGTGCTGCAGCCATCATGCTGTCAAATTTCCACCTAGATAGGTGGCGCGCCAAGTATGAAATCAAACAGGTATCTTTCTCTATCAAATTGGACTCTTCTAAAGTGATGAAATGTGTATATTAAGAAAGTAAAAATATATTTTTATTTGATTTATTAATAAATACTTTAATTTAAATAAAAACTAGACAGAACTTCACTTTCTCACTTGAGACATTTAGCTATGTCATCCCTCCCTTTTGTTTAATTTCCAATGAGATCAATTTTAGGATATATATCTTATTGCATTGAGCTATGACCAATGCATGTTGCAGCTGGTCCGAACTCACATAGGAATGGACAATAGAAGCTACAAAAGCATACATCAAAAGGAAGATAGTGAAGGGAGAAAAGGACTTGCAGTGAGCAAAGATGTGATTGAGGTTGGAGGCCATGCGCTAAAGGCCAATATTACCACACTAGGCCCACTAGTGCTACCAGTTTCAGAACAACTTCACTTCTTCACCAATTTGATCTTCAAGAAAAGGAAAACAAAGCCATACATTCCTGATTACAAGCTGGCATTTGAGCACATGTGTTTCCTGGCAACAAGCAAGAAAGTGCTGGATGAGATTCAGAAGAATTTGGAGCTCACAGAGGAGTACATGGAAGCATCAAGGAAGACATTGAAAAGATTTGGTAACACATCTAGCAGCAGCATATGGTATGAACTGGCATACCTTGAGTTGAACTCAAGGATTAAAAGGGGTGATCGAATATGCCAAATAGCTTTTGGATCTGGATTCATGTGCAACAGTGTTGTTTGGAAGGCCCTCAGGAATAATGGGAGTCCCAAGCAAAGTCCTTGGATTGAGGATGAGTGATGATAAACCAGCTAGATATATAGCTTGCTAGCAACTTAGCTAGCAAATAACCTTGTAGGTATCCATAGGTGCATATTGTGAACAATGGAACAAGACATGAATTAAATAAATCAGTTCTATTATTTGAATAATTGAAAGTTGATACTCTGTAGTATGTATATAACTATTTTTATTTTATTTATCTTTTTTACATACTTGCATTTTAAAAATATATTCAGGAAACAAAGGGGGTAACCTTTTTTTTCCTTCAAAAATCATTATTGTAAACAAATAAAACAAAAAAAAAAAATTCAAATTTTATATATTTTTTCAATAATTATTCAGAATCCAGATACATTTATGACTTTAACTAAAGTTGCCCTTTAAGATTACTTAAATGGAGAAGACAAGCCCTAATAATTCTTTTTTTCCTTCTAGTCTTTTTATCTCGAATTTCCTTCAATTCGAAAATGTTTTTGTTTTTCTTGTTCTTGTGTTTCTTCAGACTACTATGCTTTGTTTTCCAGTCAATTAAGCTAAAAGATTTTATTAGTGTATTTGCTGAACAAGGCTCAGCCCACTACAGTCGAGGCCTTTGTGATTAAGCTGGGCTCATTATGTTGAAGCCTATATATTTCTAATTTGCCATGGATTGAGGACAGAAAAACAAATATCTAATTTTAATTAAAATAAAAACTTCACCTTGACGAACAACATTAAACTTTAATATCAATTTATTGTATTGAATATAAAAATAATAATTTTAATTAAAAAAATATAAAATAACTACTATTATATCTAAGTTTTCTCCTAAATTTTTATAGAAGCAGCTTATAGCGTTATTATACAGTATTGATCACGTAAAACTACAATTTAAAATAAGCCCTACAGGTGAATTAAGTAATTTACTTTTATTAGTTAAACAATTTTTTTTTAATTTAAGTTTTTAATATCATGTGCGACGTGGCAGAGACATTGGATAATTAAGATGTATATTTTTTAGTGGCAAATTAATGTCCTAAAATTAGGACGAAGCGAATAAGTGATCTTGTTAAAACATCGTTTCTATCGTTGTCTAATGTCTGGATCCTCAAAAATAATATTACTATCGCTTAGAATTATTGGACGTTAAATAAGAGTTCAAAATTTCAAATGCAAGTATTATAGATATAAACATTCAACGGGGCTTAAAGCCCTCAAATGCATGCGAGTAATTTGTTACCGATAAAAGTTGATTGATCTGATAATTGTTCTCCACATCTGATTAATGTGCGAATTGGATTTTAATCATGAAGTGACAATTATTGGTTATAGAGGACCAACAAAATTTAAATTATATAAAACCAACAAAATAGTTTTAAAAAATTGAAATAATTAGGAATGTGTATCATCTTTTGGATCGCGTTCAATCATGCATATAAACAATATTATGGCATCATTCACATTCTTAATTTTGCTGACTCTCCCCTTACGTAGGTTAAGTTGTACCAAAACACAAGCTACTAATAGACGATGACCAAATTTGCTGTTAGAGATGTCCAATAATTGAGCTCATGAAAAAGTCCCTCATCTATTTTTGTTGGCGTACGTGTAAAGAGCTATATAATCTTAATAAAGTGTCTTTTGAATTTTCAGTTCCTTGTGTCTTTAGAAGCTGATGGAGCAAATCGTCATTGGATCGTAGAGTGCTGCGTGTAAAGTAATTTTTCCTTTTTTCTTTCTTGTATTGATTGGAATAGAAATTTGCCTCCCATATTAATAATTAGAGAGAAAAATAAGAACTTCATCAACAAATAACAAGGAATGTGCACAGCGAGGCAAACTAATGTGCATACCCACCTATAATTGTAGTAGGAGAAAAAGTTACCTGTTGATTGGAATTAATATCAAGAGTCATTTCACTAGAATTATCATATGTTGAATTTAAAATTTAAAAATCTAAATAACAGAGTAGGATAAAGTAAACACTTGTTAGGCTTAATGCAGTGGGAGTATATAAGAATTAATTTCTCCTGCACTTGGAGACATTATTGCTGTCCTATCTATCTGAGATTCAACATTGCGAGATATAAATAAACGACACAGATGCAGAAACACGTGCCCCATCTATATCCCAATCGATATAACATAGAGCCACACAAACTGACAAACATAAGCTATTCAATGCCTAAATCAGGTTTGCTACGGAGGATTTTAATTTCTTTCATGTGCACCAACACCACAGAAATATTTGCTTACACCCAATTAATGCACAACATTATACTTTCGATCTTTCGCCTTCTGATAGCGAATTAACATGCCCACTTTAATGGTCTACCCATTTCGTATATCTTATCTGTTAGGTTGCATGCTACAGTGTTTGCAAACGACACATTCTGTGCCTTGATTGGTACTGCCAACCCAGACCCCGTAAGTAGAACAGGAGCACCATAAAGCGAGCATTTGCAAAATAATGGTTAAATTAATTAAAAGTATGAAGTGCAACTATAATTTAATACCGATTATGTGACACTTGATTAAGGTATAGTTTTAGAACTAAATTAACGACCAACCACTTTATTATCATTTTAAATATTATTTACTAATCATGCCAATATAACAATTTAGAAAGTTACTTCCTGTACCATGTTTAAGCTGCTATAAGCATTGCATGCGGGAACTTACTGGTTGATGGCATGGGAATTGCTTTTATTTAATTTTAGTAGCTTTTGTCGGTTTTAGTAGCTTTTTTATTCTCTTTCTGTTAGTGTTTATGATGAATGTTTGTCAAAGGTGTTAGCAACCAACTTTTGTTCGTAGTTTCAATTTTGTAGGGATATTGTGTGATCGCATAACTTCATTATCTGCATCCGTTTGTTCCACGCAGAGGTGGTTTTTATTCTAAATCAATGATAGAAAGAGCTCTATAAATATTTCACACTCTCATAATTTTAAGTCACCCAAATCTGCTCCTCCTTTAGAATAATACACAACAATACACATCATCGTGATTGAGTGAGTAAGGATTTGAAAAAACTGAAAACTCTGATCACGAATCAACTTGCAATGGTTTGAGGTTAGTGTTAATCAATCCATTCTTCGCTTCTGCATAGCTTTGATAGCTTTTACATTTGGTATCAGAGCCCGAAAAATTAAAGAAAAAAATCCAAAGGTGCAAGTCTTGAAATTGAAATCAAATTCTTAGAAAAACTAGGAACATAAAATGTCTTCTCTAAATTTAAAACAAAGTCACTACTTAAAGTTAAACTGCACGTCCCAACAGCCTCCACATATGAACTCATCCTACTCCCTGTGTAGATGCATCGCTCACTTCCCACTAGCCTCCTTGAGTTTTGCATAACCTAGTTATGCAAGGTATTACAAACATGGATTGTAGAACCAAAATTAATCCACCATGTGTCATAATTAATATCAACCATATTATATTCATAACAAACAAAAGCAAAGAGACTACCCTTCTTGTCCAGCCAAGTCTTGAATTTTAGGCAGTTTTTCTTCATGTGTCCTTTCTTTTTACAAAAGAAACACTTTGACTCCTTCTTTATATCCGGCTGAACACCCTTGTGATTAACTTGATTCTTTTTGCTTTTCGCAAAAGTGGCAAGTTCACCCTCTCCCCTTCTTCCATCAGTAACCTTTCCTCTTCTTGAGCACACATGGTCAACAATTCCACTTATCCTTATGAGTGTTATAAGAGATCTTAAAGGAGACATATTCATGAGGCAAGGTGCATAAAATGTAGTGTACCAAGAAGAAATCTGACATGATAACCTCCAAAGCTTTCAACTAAGCCACTATATCCCTTATGCGCATGATGTGATCATGCATTCCTCTAATTCCAGTGAACTTCATGGATGAAAACTGCATTATAAGGGTGCTGGCAAGAGATTTATTAGAAGTAGTAAATTGCTCATCAATGACCTTTAATAAATCCTTGACTTTATTATGTTGATCGATAGAACCCTAAATACTAGTAGAAATGTTGGTCTTTATAAAAGTTAGGGAAAGATGATTAGACATCTCCCGCTTTTCATAAAGATCAATTGTGCATCTAGAGTGCTGGTCTCAGTAATTGTCGGTGGTTCGTCCTTCCTAATAGCATAGTCAATATCCATCTAGCTCAAATAAAGAAGAATTCTTTCATTCCAGATCTTATAATTGTCACCCCGTAACTCGGGAATACCACATTTAATATTAAAAATATTCACAGATTGAGAAACTGCAAAGTTCAAAATACCACATGCTTATCATAATTTGAGGATAAAATAAATATCATGTTTTACTAATGTAAATATGTTTTAATTCATTAATCTAGTGACATAAAACTTGTCTGTGGGTTAAAGTCTTATTCAATTAGACTCATTATACATTTTTATGATAAAACTATCAAATTATGTTCCTTTTCTTAATTCATGTGGGTAGATTAAGAAATATAATTCAATATTTCATCCTAATTAATTGTACAAATGCAATAAAATTCTTGTGGGTAGATTTTATCACATCACATATAATTAATTACAATTAATATTTTTTCAATGTGACTTAAAAACTATATATATAATTTTAATCAATTAAATGTGCTGTGGCTACTCTCTAATTTATTAAAATTATATTCATTACCAAACATTAGTTTCTCTCTCTCTAAAATGGCAGATATTAGCATTAATATCAAAGATATTAGGCATAAAAACTAATAATATCATGCTAAATATTCACAAGGAAGGATATATATAGTTTTCAAAATAATAGAGATAAGAATTTGGTTAAATGGCAGTCACTTTAGTTTACCATTCCAAGGTTTTGGGTTCGAACCCTCACAAGACTAAATTTGTTTTGGATTTATTAGGGACGAAAAACATTTGAACAAAAGTGTCAAGATGAGTTTCAAACCTGTAACCTCTACGAAGAGCAACATGCTGCTTACCACTAGGCCATCTTCGGAACAATATTGTTGCACGTACAAAACTATATGTTCATATATTCAGAAACTCAGAAAACACACAAAAAAGAACAAAAAGCTT